AACAACAACAACAACAAAAGATGAAGTTCATAGTACACATTTTAACCCCAAAGTATGTCATGTTGATTTTAGCAAAGAAAATTAGGGGAATAAAATAATCTGAATGACACAGTCACTCAAGTCTATCCTCAAAACCTCCTTAAACAGACCCTTGTAAGGATTCTCAGGATCCAGGCACAAATGATTTCCTTCCCTTAGTGTGAAGGCTTGTTCCTGAAAATACATGTGACTCTACCCAAGGCCGTCAATGATGTACCTGTGTGGTAAACTAATTTTGGCCACATAACAGTGAACTTCTAATATCCTGAAGAAAAAGCATCTAGCTAGTACTCTTCCCTAGGAGCTCTGGTAGCAAAGTGCCTAAGGAACGTGACTGCTAACCAGAAGGTTGGCGGTTCAAACCCACCAGCCACTCCTCAGAAAGAAGGGTGGGCATTCTACTTCTGTAGTGACACTGGAAAACCCAAGGAAGGGGTCACTATGAGTTGGGTCCGACTCGATGGCACATAACAACAACAACAAAAATACTCTTCACACCTTAAAAAACCAAACTCACTGCCATTGAGTCAATTCTGACTCATACAACCCCCATTGGGTTTCCAAGACTATAAATCTTTACAGAAGTAGATTGCCCCATCTTCCTTCCAAAGAGCAGCTTGTGGAATTGAACCACTGACCTTCCGGTTAGCAGCCATATGCCATATCCACTATACCACCAGAGATCCCTTTAGTGTGCCTAATAATTGTCAGTTCTCACAAAGACATTTCAGAGATTCCGCACAAGGTAATTTTGAGAGAGACAACACTTTGATCAACTGTACTATATAGTACTGCTTTGTATTTTTCTGAAGGCTGACAGGAAAATTTGGCACAAAGTGGAAAACAAATCTTTGTTTTCAATTCCCAGATTAAACTAAAGACCACACCTTACAGTTGATTAGTTTCAGAATGCATGTTACATATAACATCTTATGTCACGTATTCCTCACAATACCAGTAAGAGGTGGGTCCAGTTGCATTCACGAGGAGCCAGAGGATCATGGGGTTCGATGGCTTGTCTAGTCTCATGATTTAAATGTAACGGTTTTAGAATTACTCCACATCTGCTTTTTGGGATGAAGAGCCTTTAGTTTTTTCAAAAAAGTATCTGGGTTCTATGTCCAGAACTTGAAACAATGTTGTATTACACCAGTGTTGTCAAGAACCTGCTGGGATATGTTTCAGATACATCAGCAGGTTCTCTTCCCTTTCTGTTTATATCAGGAAACACAGTAGACAAGTGAGAGAAAATTATGTTCCTGGTGTCCATCTGGAGTGAGCTTTCACACAGGAAGCCTCCCGCCAGCGTGGGTTATCAACTGCATGTGGCTGACCGTGCTGGGCTCCCCTGGAAAATCTGCGTGCAAGGAGGTCTGGCCTAAGATTATTCCTCCTGCTGGGCCTGGTTTTCTTTACTTGCATAGGAGTCCTCTGCCTGTGTTCTTTGTCATTCTGCCTTGATACATTTGCCATGTCCTGAACACAGACCAGCTATATCATACCTCTCTCAAAGTAGATCGCCCAATCTTCCTTCCGAGGAGTGGCTGGTGGGAGTAAACCTCCAGCCTTCTATTAGCAGTCAAATGCCTTAGGCACTACACTACCAGAGCTCCCCAAGAAACACTTAGAACCCCAGTTTAGCAAGTTAGAAATAAAATGAGCATTTAAACATATTTTTTGTTGTTGTTACATGCCGTCAAGTCGGACCGACTCATAGCCACCCCTTCTTGGATTTCCGAGGCAGTATCACTACGGAAGTAGATTGCCTCATCTTCCTTCCAAGGAGTGACTGGTGGGTTTAAACCGCCAGCCTTCTGGTTAGCAGTCAAGTGCCTTAGGCACTACGCTACCAGAGCTCCCTTAAATATATTACTCAGTAGTAAAAAAAAAAAAAAAAAAAAAAGCATGGTAATTTCAAAGATGGTGTAATTCTTTTCTTTCCCTTCTTTCCTGTAAGAATTTCCATTCAGTAGTGGAAACTTTCACGCTCAGATGGAGTATTTCCTCTGGTGAATTCAAAATCCTCTTTTCTTCTGTGTCAGCTTTGATACAGTATGGGCAAAGGGATGGTTGAAAAGTACAAGCAGAGGGCCAATATTTGCAACATTCAGACTGAAAATAAACCACAGTAGTTTAAAGGGAAGATTCTGAATATATGGCAATGAGAGGTAGTGTGGCGTAGTGGATAACAGTATCATCTGTCAAGGAGACTTGGAACTGAATCCCAGCTCCACCAAGCTGTATTCTTTAGGCAAGTTACTTAACATCTCTGAGCCCCAGTTTACTCACAGCATCAAGCAAATAACAGGTGTAGCATTTAGCAGAGTGACCAACATGAGTAGGTGCCTGCTAGTTATTAATGTTAAAAACATTCAATCCATAGGAAGCCCAAACTAGACAGGACTTACTGGTGGGCCTGCTGGTCCCAGAGCCCCTTTGCTGATTTCAGAGCAGGAGCAGGAACGTGGAAGGTCTGGGCAGGTCTCTTCATCCCTCTGAGGAAAGAAAATAGCATGCCTGTTAATAAATAAGGCAGTCTACACAAACAGCTTTCTTGACACAACACTTTTTAAGATGTATTTATTTATTTGAGATTATTCTCTCCTGATTACAAATCTTTTCTGTAAAGGAAAGATGGATGGTTTCTAGGAATATCAAGGGAATGCTGATAAAAGCCACCTAGGAATCCAGGTGGAAACATAAACTCAAAAAAACAAAACAAAACAAACCCACTGCATCAAGTCCAACTCACAGTGACCCCCCACTAGGTTTCCAAGTCTGTAAATCTTTATGGAAGTAGATTGCTTCATCTTCCTCCCATGGAGCAGCAGGTAGATTTGAACTGCTGACCTTCTAGTCAGCAGCCAAATGCCTTACCCACTACACCACCTGAGCTCCTTTTAAGTGTAAAGTGAGTGCAAAAAATATCTTGGCTGCCATTTCATTCAGCTGAAGTAACAGTACACTATGCACTAATGGTCTTGGAAATTTTCTTCATATCACATCATTTTTTCCTTTTCAAAGGTTAAAAGGAAACTTGTTGGAATGGCCAATCAAAACAACCACATCTACATGAAAACAAATAAAGAAACAAAACTGGTGTCCAAATAACGTCACCAATTCCCTGTGACAATTTTCATGACATCTCACATTCCTTGGCAGAAAACAAGAAAAACCTCACAGCATCAATCTAAAGCTTTGTGATGGATGTCAGTGTTCTTCTCTCTTGGAGAATTTTGTTGCCATGTGACATTGCAAAATAGATTATGAATGTCAAGCTGAATGAATTTGAGTGTGTTCCTGGAGTGTCCAGAAAGACAGAGCACCTGCTGATGTTATTGAACAGCTGGTGACTATCCCATTTGAAACAGCAGCCAAAGAGAACTCAATACCGGGATAGGGAACCACAGAACCCGACCCCAAACCAAAACCTGTTGTTGTTGTTACATGTCGTCGAGTCAGACCCGACCCATAGCGACCCTTTCTTGGGTTTCCGAGGCAGTATTACTATGGAAGTAGATTGCCTAACCTTCCTTCTGAGGAGTGGCTGGTGGGTTTGAACCGCCAGCCTTCTGGTTAGCAGTCAAGTGCCTTAGGCACTATGCTACCAGAGCTACCAACCAAAACCTACTGCTGTTGAATTGATTCCAGCTCACAGCGTCCCTATAGGACACAGTAGAACCGTCCCATAGGGTTTCCAAGGCTGTACATCTTTACAGAAACAGACTGCCCTATCTTTCTCCTGTGGAGCAGCTGATGGGTTTGAATCACCGGCCTTTCGGTTGGCAGCCGAGAGATTTAACCACTGCACCACCAGGGCTCCTCAGAACCTCATAGGGTTCATCAACTCCTCTGGAGTGTGAGAAAATGAGCTTCATTACTTAAAGCTTTAGGGGGAAGTATGGTTAGAGCTGAATGGCGCACAGATGATAGTTAAATTGACAAGTTGAAAATGCTCTGCGTCTCTGGAAGATGCACAACAGAAACCCCAAAATGCTCGAGCAGTTGGCCCACTCTGCAGAAACTCTTCTTAAATGTTGAATAACAGTTCAAGGTTTCAGCTCATCTCAAGAAAATCTCCTGCTAACAAAGCTGGCCTGTTATCAGGCCAGCTAGAGTAAAATACGAAGTTAAGTATCCTGAATGATCCCTAAAGTAAGGCTGACAGCAGGCCACCTGTGACCCCAGACTGAGTCTCAATAATGCTTTTGCCAGTGCTATGGACTTCATCTTTGCCCACATCTCTCCACCATGAAAGGAATGCATCTCCACTGATAAAAATGAGGAGGAAATTCTTGAGGTAGCTCAGGTCCTTCCCAGGAGAAGCTGTGTCATAGTTTGCCTGATACAACATAGCATTCTGACAATTTCCCCTTTAATTTCTGATCTTTTGCACTTGAGCATAACATCAGTGTCTGTGATTTAATTCGTCATTGGACTGGGCAATCTACTTCCACAGTGATACTGCCCCAGAAACCCTAGGAAGGGTTGCTATGAGTCGGGTCTGACTCCATGGCAGTGAGTCTGAGAGTTCAGTAAACACTTGTTTTGAAGAAGAAAGAGTAAGTCAATTCTTTCTTAAGCTTACTGTCTGCACCGCCCAGGGCCCTTTCTTAATCACTATCACCATAAATTTACTGCCTGCTGAGTGTGGCTTTTTTTTTTGGTAGATGTGGTGATGTGTAAGAACTTCAACAGTCATCAAATCAATTAGACTCCATGAATGCTTTTCCTGGCTCACTCTCCAGATTTTAAATATTAAGATATGATGACTGTCCAACCATAACAGTGTCATCAATTTCTGCTGACTCCTAAGGATACTAAAATATGAATTCATTTTTCTGTTTTTACATATAGAGGTATACTTCCATGAAATTGCATGAGTATTAATGATGAGGGGGAAAAAAAAAGGTAACATTTTCTAGTAACATCATATAGATTATATCAACCGTGATTGCAGTTCAAAAAACATGTGCCCAGCAACCCTGGGGAACTATAGGCACTGTAAAGGAGAGCTGGTGGCATAGTGCCTAAGGCATCTGACTGCTAACCAGAAGGTTGGTGGTTCAAACCCACCAGCCACTCCATGGAAGGAAAACTGGGCAATCTACTTCCATAATTTAAAATTTCAAGGCTAACACAGCACATTTAACATTCACTGGACTTTACCTAGACTACAAACTCTAGGTAGTCCATAGTTTCAACATTTGTTTCTGAAACACTCTTCTCAATGATGTGAATCATTTTAAAGCCAATGTTTTCAGCTGTTGCTGAGAATGAATGAAAAGCAAGTACCATACGAAAAATCAGTATGGAACAAGGAGTGAGGGTGGTGGGTGGGATATCCAATCGGAAAAGTTACGTAGTGCCCAATATGCACACATATACCATTAGCAAGTAATTGTGGTTATTGAAGAATGAAAAATTAATTTTTTCTTTCATTGTATGTGTATTTTTTTCTATACAATTTCTAAATAGCTAAGACATAAATACTTTCTAAGTTATTTGGACCTAATTAATAAATGGAACTGTTAGGTGTATCTTTTAAGTATTTTTCTGGGGTTAGCATAAAAAATTATTGAGATACTTAGGCCTCTGTGAACAAGAAATTTAGGGACATCTGCACTACGTGTACACAGCACCCCTTGGAGTTGTGCAGTATAGACCTTGCATGACCATAGGTAGGTAGTGGCCCTGGTGTAATGATCCCAACATGTCTCCTTAGCCTCTTACTAATATTAATTCTCATCACAATGAATTATCTCTGACAGGAATGTGGAGAAATAGCCCTTCAGCTTCAGAGAAAATGGAGTATGATTTTTAAATCTTTCAAGGAAGGACAGACTAAATAACAAAAGCATTCTTACCAGGCCTGGAAGTTCACAGCATTTGTCTTTACTGGCCCACGATGTGGAACAAACAATATCAAACATCTGTAACTGGAACTGAATTTTAAAAAGAAAATTGTCACTCAAAAGATACCAAGATACATTGTGTTCATGATTATGATGATGTCATATTATATATCACCCTAACAGAGCATCAGTAACTTTACAACACTACAATAAGCAAATAAAAAGTAACTTCAATGATATCAAGGTAATTTTGTTCCTCGAACACACAGTGATGTCAGACTTTGTCTATAATTATTCCTTCCACTTCTAAATCCCCTTACTTAGCACAGCCCTCCCTCTCCCACCTCTGCCTAAAGAGCAAGCTTAGCTCCTCTGTTGAAGTCTTCCCTTCACTGGTCATCACAGTTTCTACTAATGCCTCTGTATTCACACAACGCTCCATATGTCTCGTTTACGGCACATCTTCCACCACAGCATATGTTATTTATATTATCTGCTCCTTCGCATGTGAACTTTTCATGAAACAGGTAATCACTTAATCATCTTTCCCCTCTGCACCCCTGATCATAATAACATGTGGATATAATAGGTATTCATAAAATCTCATTGAATTAATTCTAACTTCATTCGGTCACTCACACATTCAGCAAATTTTTCTTTAGTGCATGATGTAACCTTTGTAAACCTGAGGATATGAAAATGACCAAAACCAGAGCCCTGCCATCAAAGAACTCACCGTGTTGAGGAGACAGACCCATAAACTACTGTATATAATGGGGTAAGTGTCATGATAGAGTCACATATAGGATTGTGAGAACCTGTGTTAAATGGATTCTCATTTAAGCCATTGATTATGCTGTAAATATTTTGACAATCTCGCTCTACTCATGTTCTTGGCAATTACTCAATCTACTGTTTGAAACATAGAGAAACATCATTATACAGGCATGTGCTGCAGAACATCCATTCAGGCAACATGCAACCAGACACCATCTTACCACATATACATCATGGTTCCAACCCCCACAAAGAATGAAACATTTGAGGTACATACAATGGTTCATGGTAACAAATAGCTACTACTTTGCAATGGGCATTACATTACTACTATTATTAATGTACTACTATTATTACTGTGGGAGCTCTGGTAGCATACTGCCTAAGGCACTTGACTGCCAACCAGAAGGCTGGCGGTTCAAACCCACCAGCCACTCCTCAGAAGGAAGGTAAGGCAATCTACTTCCATAGTGATACTACCTCAGAAACCCAAGGAGGGGTCGCTATGAATCAGGTGCAACTCCACGGCACATAACAACAACATTATTGCTGTATTATCATGTAAAGATGCTTTAGTGTATCTGAAAGTGTTTATGCAGTGTTTTTTTATGCACAGAAAGGTAGATTATATACTAAGACAAACATTTGATAACGTTAGATACAAACCATACCTAAAGTTCTCAATTTATGTACAAATTCAACTTAAAGACAGACTTAGGAATGGAACTTATTCATAATCCAGGGTCTGCCTGTATAGAATATGCTGTTCACACAATGTCCAAATCACACAATGTCCTATTCCACAGAATGTATGGTGGACATTAAGTGACACATGATGGTATTATCATTAAGGACTACCAACAATTTAATGACCCATTAAAATTTTAACTATTTTTAGATTTTTAATATTAGGCATATTATGTTTCTTCCTATATGGTTTTCAAATACTACATGTATCATCGATTACAAAGCTGGGAAAAGGATAGAGGTCCGTTTCATTTTAAGGCTGTAACAGTCTTCCACAAGTGATGTTTCCAGGGATGGAAACCCTTGGTACTTGATTTCCTTCTAAGGAATACTACTCACCCTTTGTCAACCTAAAGGTCTCAACAGATAGAAATGAGAATGCCTGAGTAGATAGTATGACCAAAATAAATAGGTTATTAAAAATACATGCAATCCAATCTGGAAAAAAACTACATACTGTAAGATTCTGACTAAATAAGATTCTAGAAAAGGCAAAACTATAAAGACAGTAAAAAGGTCAGTGGTTGCCAGGGATTCAGGGGAGGGGAGGAGGGATCAACAGATGGCGCACAGGGCATTTTTAGGGAAGTGAAACTATCCCTCCGATACTGTACTGATAGATACATGCCATTATGCATTTGACAAAGCCCAGAGGACTATACAAGACAAAGAGCTAACCCTAATGTAAATTATGGACTCTAGTGAATACCAGTGTATCAATATTGGTCCATCAATTGTAACAAAGGTACCACCTGGGTGTAAGATGTTAACAATAGGAGAAACAGTGTGCAGGGGATGGGAAGGTATATGAGAGCCTTCTGTACTTTCTTTGTAAATCTTAAATGGCTTTTAAAAAAATAAAGTATATTTAAAAAAAGAAGAAGAAGAAGAAGAAAGAAAAAGAGCTGCTTATGTACAACCAAACACCTCATGGGATTTGGTTCCTTGGTTGGAAAGTTTAGATTCATGGTTTATTGGGACATCTCAGTTACATGGGCTAATGTTTAGTGCTTAGTGTTTAGTGCTTCTGTTCTATCTCCTAGTTCCTTGCACAGTGCCTAGGGTCTCAAGAGAGGGGGAAGGACAGTCAGGAATAGGAGGAGGATATGATGGCTAATTGCCTCCACGAACAACCGCCTCTTTTACCATGACACCAGAAGAAGTGGAGGGTTCTGTTGCCAACTGCTGCCCAACTACCATTATGGAATATTTTGATCAAAGAATCCATAGATGAATCCTGATCAAAAGCAGGGGAATGCAGAACAGATTTCCAAATTCTCATAGACTCTAGACTTTCTGGAGCCAGGAAGGGTAGAGAAACCCCTGAAACTATTTGACCTGAGATGATCTTTAAACCTTAAACCAAAAATATCACCTGAAGTCTCCTTAAAACCAAAAAATAGTTTAGCTTATCTAGTAAAAAAGGTCTGCCTTGAGGATTACACTCCTTTAAGAACTATCTATATGGGACCAAATCAACAATAGCAACTTGAAAGGTTAGATAGGAACCTCAGTGGGCAGTGACTTGATGTTAATGAGGGAGGAACAACTCAGAACAGGGGGGTTGGATGGTTGCACAACTTGAAAAAGTAACTAAATGGTATGTGTAGAAACTGTTGAAAGGGTGTATGTTTTGCTGTATACGTTCTCAACAACAACAAAATTAATACAAGTTAAAAAGAAAAAGATTATGCAGTGTCACAAAAGAGCCAGTCCTATCCAGCAGAAAGAGAGATCAGACTTTCTCTTTACACCCAGGAAGAAACGTGCCTTGCAGCCAGTATCAACCCCAATCTAGTTTTCCAAGGTCAATAACATTATTCTTGAAGTTTAAAAGCAGATTCACTAGTCCAGGCATCATGCTTCCTTGTTTCTATGTACATCTGTGGACACTTTGAGTAAATACATGCAAGGCCTGCTGCTCTCTTTTCTTACACCATTTAAAACTTTCTTTTCAAAGGGTGACCTATCTGAGCCTGTGCAGGACAACCATACGACAAAAATATAACCTTGAAAATATTTGCTAGGTACCGATGAGTCATCTCCAACTCATAGCAACCTTATGCACAGCAGAACAAACCACTGACCGGTCCTGGGCCAGCCTCACGATCCTTGCAATACATGAGCCCATTGTTGCAACCACTGTGTCAATCTATCTCATTGAGGGCTTTCACCTTCTTTGTTGACCCTCCACTTTACCAAGCATGATATCCTTCTCCAGGGAATGGTTCCTTCTGACAACATGACCGAAGTAGGTCAGATGAAGTCTGGTCAATTCTCACTTCCAAGAGGAGCATTCCTGCTGCACTTCTTCTAGAACAGGTTTGTTAGTCCTTCTACCAGACCATGGTACTTACTCTTAGCATTCTCCAACACCACAACCACAAAAGCATCAACTCTTCTTCAGTCTTCCTAATTCATTGTCCAGCTCTCACATGCATAAGAGGTGACTGAAAATACCATGGCTCAGGTTAGGCATATCTTAGTCTTCAAGGAGACATCTTTGCTCTTTAACACCTGAAAGAGGCTTTTTGCAGATATGCCCAATGCAATAGGTCATCTGATGTCTTGACTGCTGCATCCACTGGTGTTGATTTTAGAACCAAGTAATATGAAATCTTTGACAACTTCAATCTTTTCTCCATTTATCATGAAACTATTTATTGGTCCAGTTGTGAGGATTTTTGCTTTCTTTATATTGAGGTGTAATCCATACTGCAGATTGTAGTCTTCAATCTTCATCAGTAAGTGCTTCAAGTCATCCTCACTTTCACCAAGCAAAGTTGTGTCTCTGCATATCGCAGGTTGTTAATGAGTTTTCCTCCGATCCTGATGCCACGTTCTTCTTTGTATAACCCAGTTTGTCAAATTATTTGCTTGGCATACAAGTTGAATAAGTATGGTGAAAGGATACAACTCTGACACCCTCCTTTCTTGATTTTGAACCATGTAGTATCCCCTTGTTCTGTTCAAACAACAGACTCCTGGTCTATACACAGGTTCCTCATGAGTACAATTAAGTGTTCTGGAATTCCCATTCTTCTCAATGTTATCCACAATTTCCTTTGATTCACACAAACGAATGCTTTTGCATAGTCGATAAAACACAAGTAAACAACTTTCTGGTATTCTTTGCTTTCAACTGAGATCTATCTGACATCAGCAATGATATCCTTCATTCCACATCCTTTTCTGAATCCAGCTTGCATTTCTGAAAGCTCTTTGTCAATATGCTTCTGCAGCTATTTTTGAATTATCTTCAGTAAGATTTTACTTGCATGTGATATTAATGATATTGTTCAATAATTTCCATATTCTTGGGATCACCTTTCTTTGGAATGAGTACAAATATGAATCTCTTCCAGTCAGTTGGCCAGGTAGCTATCTTCTAAATCTCTTGGCATGGCCAAGTGAGTGCCTCCAGTGGGACATCCGTTTGTTGAAACATCTCAGTGGGTATTTGGTCAATTCCCGGAACCTTGTTCTTCACCAATTCCTTCAATGCAGCTTCAACATCTTCCTTCAATACCATTGGTTCTTGATCATATGCCATCTCCTGAAATGGA